GAGAGGACTATTGCAGCTGCAGCGGTGCTGGGAAGCTCTGTATGCACAAATAAATCTTTAAAAAAAAAAAGTTCAACAGTAATGATAAGCCCCTGTCATTTCCATGGAGGGCGCTTCATTTCAGTCCATTTGTGTTGTCTCCCACAGGTGGGACTGGCCATCATCTGCCACACCTTCAGCACCTCAACAAGCCCGGTGCTGGGTGCCTTTGGTCAGCGCCTGCAGTTCTCCTGAAGGCTGCAGGAGGCACCCAGGATGCGTGACTGTCATCCCTGTGCTCACTTTAAACCTGAGACGCTGCTTCATCCCAGTCTGCCGAGAGTCTCTGACCCTTCTTTTCCACTCCCCAGGTCGGTTTTGTGGCGACCAAGTCCCGGAGCCCCTCATCTCCACGGACAGCCGGCTCTGGGTGGAGTTCCGAAGCAGCAGCAACATCCTAGGCAAGGGCTTCTTTGCTGTCTATGAAGGTTTGTTCACCAGGAAGGAAGCCAGCCGGGCACCTCCCGACGTGCCCAGGTCGCCATGCAGCCTGCCGCCCCTCTCCCACCCAGACACCCTGGCAGCTGCGGTGCCAGGGGGGGTAAGGGGTGCTGAGGGGCCACTGTCCCCTCCCCACATACGGAACTGGAGAGGTGAGTTGTGCTCACCTCAGACAGGCATCCCCTACGCCGGCCGGGGAGCGCCTCCTTCCACACAGGTGTGCTGTGCAGGTGTGCAGAACCCTGGGGAGTGGAAGCGGCTTCTGAGTAGCTGTGTGGCCTGAGTAAAGACTCTAACCTGACCGGGTTCCTGCTTCTCTGGACATGGCAGGGAGTTTCCCGCCACATATCTCGGATGGGCCTTGGACGCTTCCATGGCTGTGAAGTTGGCCTGTCTGGCACACCCTAGGTCTGTGCTCTAGACAGCTGTCCTCCCATGAGGGCAGTTCTGTTTCAAAAGATGGATATTGTTAGATTTTCTTTTAAGACTTACTTATTTATTCATACAGAACTGGGGTACAAGCCAGAAGTGTGAGAGTCATGAGAGGCTCTGCCAGAGACAGAGTGGGGAGAAGAACAGGCAGATAGACAGAGTACACTGCTGAGGGGAGCAGTGGGCGGGTCAGGAGAGCTCTGCTGCGCCCTGGGGGTCACCTCCGGGGCAGGCGGGGATCAAACCCACATTGAAGCGGCTGCCGCTAGCTTGCAGTGCTACATCCTAACCCGTTGAGCCACCAGGGAGGAACCTCTGCTTCAATTTTTATCCCCACTCCTTGGGATCCCTGCTATCTACCCTGGTACCGACACTTCCAAAATTTTTGAGACACCAAAGATTTGTTTTTATAAAATAAGCTGTGGGTGCATGTCTGTGTATGAACAGTCCTCTACCTTCTACTTCAGAATACCCTGAGGAACCCAACTGTCACCCCACTATCCTGTGGGGATGTAGCCCTGGCTTTCATAGCTCAAAAATAGCCCAGGTAATGTGCAAAGGCAGAAAGTCGCTGTCCTACATGGTTGTCTTCTGTATAAGAAAAACTAAGCACCCTCAACAAATGAAATCGCGCCCTTGCCAGAGACCGTCCTGGTGGGTGGAAATGAAAATGTTGGCAAGTGGAGCCACCTAGTGGTAAAAAGTGGCCACCCACCTTCCTTGCTCACATCTGACCAGGGCCCCTCCTTCTGGCTTTCCTTCTTAAGCCACCTGTGGGGGAGACATTAACAAAGATGCTGGCCAGATCCAGTCTCCCAACTACCCCGATGACTACAGGCCGTCCAAGGAATGTGTGTGGAGGATTACGGTTTCAGAGGGGTTTCACGTGGGCCTTTCCTTCCAAGCTTTTGAGGTGAGTACTGTTCAGATGTCTTCCCAAGGATAGAGTAAATGTCAACTGTTGCCAGACACTCTCTGCTTGATAGAGATCAGTTTCTATGCTGGAGTTGAAAACAGAATCCTACGAGGCATTCTCACGCCCATACTGCATGATACCTGGGCTTCTGGCATCAAAGCCTTTGCTGCTCGGAGATCACATCAGCCTCCTTTCTGATGGCTGAGAGAGGGTGGGGGAATCCTCAAAGTGAGGCCCTAGGGTGCGGCCCAGGGGAGCTTTATGGAATCGTTCTTCCCTGTCCATCCTCTCAGTCTGCACAGTGGGTTCAAGTAGGAGACAGCTTGGAGAAGCCCAGGGCACACTTGGCCCTTTGGCTTCTTGCTTAGATCTTTGAGAGTTGATCATGAGCTCCCTTCTTAAATCAAAATCTTTGAGGCCAGACCATCCCGTCTCTTCCGCATCGCCTGTGTTTCTGCTCTCAGATTGAAAGACACGACAGCTGTGCATATGACTACCTGGAAATCCGCGACGGCCCCACAGAGGAGAGCGCACTGATTGGCCACTTCTGTGGCTATGAGAAGCCGGAGGATGTGAAGTCAAGTTCTCACCGAATGTGGATGAAGTTTGTGTCCGATGGCTCTATCAATAAAGCAGGCTTTGCAGCTAATTTTTTTAAGGGTATGAATTAGCATTTTGTTTCCATATTTAGTCCAGAAGAGGTATTGCCTCCCAGCTTCACAAAATCTGGAGGGGATCTTAATGCCCGGAGGGAGAAGAGAGCTGCCCAGTTTACAGTTGTGTGTGGGGCACACGGTGGACCATCCCACTGGCTTGGGACAGGCCCAACAGGGGCTTGTGTGAGACAGAGCATTCTGTCCCTGCACTTGAAATTAAATTTAGAACGTTAACAAGCCAACTCAGGAACCTCAGGGAAGCTGAGCCTTGATAACAAAATACTTTGTGGTTGCTATCATTAATGTGCCAGGAGTTATGGTAGGTACCTGATTTATACAAGAACCTCTAATTTTCTAATAACTCTTTGAGCTGGGGTTGGGTTGCATTTGCTCAGGGTTGAAAGGGCTACGTTGGGGTCGCTCAGATAGTTGAAGGTCAAGAATCAGTGATTCCCAAGCGCAAACTCATTCTATAAGGTTGCCTACGATGACCCAAGTGGCAAGCCCAAGCTTTGACTCCTGAAGCCTCAGCCCTCAGCGCTCAGGGCACTCTCTGGTGAGGAGGAGTGGGGAGGACTATTGCAGCTGCAGCGGTGCTGGGAAATAAGCCCCTTGCTGCCTTAGAGACTTGGATCTTCGGGGTGGGGAGGCCAGCATTCCCAGCCCCAGCCGGCGGACTCCCCAGGGCTCTTTTGAGTGGGTGTGTTTTCCTTCTCTGTGCTCAAGGCCTGGCGCCCCCTCAGTTGGTCCTGAGAGGAAGCAGGTGCATGGTGGTGGACACTCAGCAGCATGCCAGCAGCCCCCTGCGTGGAGATACCCACGCTGAGGCCCCTTGGCGAGTGGCAGCTCTCATGGCAAAGGCGGGTCCCTTCCCTCCCTCCTCTCCCAGGACGCCTGGCTGTGCCATTCTGAACCCAGGTCACTCCCTGACCCCAGCCTCCCTGATCCCAGCCTCCCTGATCCCAGCCTCCCTGTCCGCCCCCTCCCCAACACTTCCCCCAAATTCAGAGCCTGCTCTGCCCTGCAGCCACACACAGGAAGCCTCTTGCCTTTGGCAAAGCCTCAGTTTTCCTTAGTACAATGGGAAGGACATCTGCCTGTTTCACCTGTGACTTCCCATGATATGACTGGGAGACTTGATCAGCTGAAAGTGCCACATGTAGGTTGTTGTTGTTTTCTTCCATCTTAAGGCATCAGGGGAGAGCAAAACCACAGAGAAATCAAACATGCTGCACAGTTGGAGCCAAAAACTGAATTCTTCCCCCAGCAAAAGAACCAGGCCCCAAGAAGTGTGTTTCAAAGGCAGGTCAGCTGGGGGTGTGACAGAAGAAGGATGCACCAGCTTTAGTTGCGATACTGGAAATTCGCAGCCCCATGGTGGCTCAGACTGTGCTCATGACTCAGCAGCAGCAGCCCCTGCTGTGTGACACCGAGCAAGTTACACAACCTCTCTGAGCCCTGAGCCTTCCAGCTGCAGAAATGGTGCTGCCATGTTTTTGCCGAATTATTGTCAGGAGTTAATAAAATAACGTAAATGAATAAACATACCATAATAGCACCATTAGCAGTTTGGTTAAGGAAATGTCTTTCAGGTAGTTCTTTTTCTCTCCAGTAAAAAGGGATGTGACAATTTCTTCTTGCTCTTGGATGTATCAATTTCCTATCACCATTGTGACAAATTACCACAATTTAGTGCTTAAAACAGCACATATGTGTTCCCTTATAGCTCTGGAGCCCAGGCTTCCTGGCCCTGTTCCGGCTTCCAGAGGAGGCCCTGCCTCGCCTGGCTCCGCTGGGAGGCTGACCTCACTGTCCCTTAATACGGCTCCTTATCTGAACCAGCCCCCGCCCCTCCAGCTAGAAGGGCCCTTGTGATGACAAAGGCCCCCAGATAAGCTGGATAATCTCCCAGGTGAAGACCATTCATTTAATCAATGGACAGAGCCCTTGATGTCTTGTCAGGTAACAGATCACCGGGAGCAGGACCAGGAACAGGACAGCCTTGTTTTGCTTACCGTGTCATGAATGACTATGGGGCTTTATTCTAGTTCTTTCATCGCAATTCTCCTTTTCCACCAACTTCCACCCCAGGTAGGTTTGTCAGGTGTTGGCTCTTTTCCAGCGAATTAACTGACAACCACCAGGGGGCGCTGCCCCCTTGTAGTCCCCGCCCCTCCACTATGACCAGCTATGTGCCTTTTTAAGAGGATCAGCTAAAGCTGGAAAAGTGTTGCTACGTTTAGCAAATTGAAAAACAGGATGCCTGGCTAAATATGAATTTTAGATGAAAAATGACCTCTAGTGTATGTCCCAATTATTGTGATTGGTTGTTCATCTGACTTAATTGAATCTAATTGCATCATCATCATCATCATTTTGTGGCAACCCTGCTGGAAATGCCAGTGAAGGCAACAGAAAGCAGTGCTTCTCAGAGGGTAACCTGACTGGTGAGCGGCTGAGCAGAGAGCCTTGGCTGTTCTCAGTAACAGTGATAACCAGCTCGATTTGCCTGATACAGGCGTCATCTTCCCCTCACCCACTTGTAACGTTCACCCAGCAGTTCCCAAGTGACGTGTGAGGCTGTGTTAGGGGCTGGGATGCAGAGGGGAACAGTCCTTGTCCCCCAGGAGTCCAGGTAGTGAAAAACAAGGGCTCCAGCCTTGTCCACGGAAGTGTGGACCTCGGGGAAAGACGAGGAGGACTCCAGCTTCTACTCCAAGGGCATTTCAATGGACAAACATCTGTTTAGATGCCCGTGAAGCTGTTAGTTGGGGGCTACCTTGGCATCTTTTATGTCAAGGAAGACTGCAGAGAACCACGGTTTAGAAAAGGAGACATAGGCAGCCAGCCCGTCAGCCTTGATCCTTAATCTCACAAGAGGAGTCCGGACTGTTGAAACCTCCTTGGGAGGCCATTGAAGGGGAAGGAAATGACATGTTTGTGCCAGTGCTGCATTAGTTACTGCCCTCTGTCTGCAGAACACCTGTTGGCAGGCATCATTATTAGCCCCATTTTAAAACTGAGGAGACAGAAGTTCTGAGGTGGCAGAATTAGAAGGAAGTCCTGGACTGGAAAGTTCCACAGTCCACTCTCCTTCACTACAGAAACCTGACAGCCACCAGCAGGCACAGGGAAGGGGCTTGGATTTTTCTCTTCCGAGTCTGGTTTGATTCTGCACCTGACAGCTTTGTGCCTTCTTGATCTCGTGGGGGTACAGCAGCGGCAGCCTCTGTGTGGCACCTGGGACCTGGCCCTGCCTTTTGACTCACGCTCGGCTCTGAGCTAGAGCTGTTTTTCTTTCTGAAGCTGGATCCTATCTGCATTGTTCTCCATTATGTTTCCAGTGTCTGGACGGACACTTCCGTGTGTGGGTGGACAGATAGCTGGATGCATGAGTGAGGGGGCTTGGATTACTCCCGGCATTTTGGACATCCTGGTCCCTGCTCTGCCTACCTTCCAGGACGCCCAGGCAGGTGTCCAGGCGAGAGCCACAGTTGAGAACAGCCCTGTTCAACAGGACTCAGAGACGCAGCACAAGTATGAGACGCAGGCATAGTCTTACGCCTTCTGGGACCCACCCTACCTACCTAAAAAACAATAATAGTAATAAGCAGATGCAATTAGTGATAATAATATAGCAACCCAATGTATCAAAAATACCATCATTTAAAAATGTAGTCACACAGCATTACCAGGGTGCTTTATGTTTATTTGTTTCCTGTACTCAATCTTGCAAGTGGTGTAGATTCCCAGCTCAGCTCCCTTCAGACCAGCACACGTCAAGGGCCCAGTGGTCGTGGTGGCCTCCGTTTCACCCACCGGCGCTGGCCGGAGCCCGGCCACAGCCCACTGCCCCAGCCAGGCCTGTGTCCTGTGAGGCCATCAGAGGATGCCCCGAGAGCACAGTGTGCTGTGGTGTGTCAGGACCTCTGCAGGGAGAGGAGCTGGGGAGTAACGACAGAGGCTACGCGGAAGACTCAGACCAGGCCAGACAAGCCCCTGCAAGGCTGCCAGTTGGCCGAGGACTCTGCCAGGGCCCAGCTGGCTCGAGGCTTCAACCGGGGTGCCAGTTGGCCTCTGCACACCCCCATCTTGGTGCCAGAGGGCAGCCCCTCCGGCACCCGCTGGCCGAGAGGCAGTCAGTGTCTGCTTCCTTTAGGAGGTGACAGGGGCACCCCCGGGCGGCGGGGCCACGCACCCCCCTGTGAAATACGAGAGTCCACTCGGTGCCACCGTCCCAGGGCAATGGGCCGCCGTGGAGTATCTGATGCCAGGCTGGAGCGCCAGGAGCTTTCGGGGTTGCCTAGAATGACCCGGGCTTGACTCAGGGAGCCCCTCTTGGGGCTGATGGGTCATCCCTGAGCCTGTGGCCAGAGCCCACCAGCGCCTGTAGCTGCTCCCGCTCTCAGGGGCTGGGAGTCCTGGATGTGGGACTCCTCGGGAGATGGTCAGAGAGGCCTCTCGCTCTTAGAGGCCGCTTGCTGGGGACCCCAGTGTGGAGACTGAGGTGGGGAGCCGACCAGACTGCTTTGCTGTGATTTAACCGGAGTCCTCCCCCCGCAGAGGTGGATGAGTGCTCCGGGCCTGATCAGGGCGGGTGCGAGCAGCGCTGTGTGAACACGCTGGGGAGCTACAGGTGCGCGTGCGACCCTGGCTACGAGCTGGCCCCTGACAAGAAGGCGTGCGAAGGTGGGTGCTGGGCCCGTGAGCTGGACGCAAGGGCTGGGCAGAGACAGAGCAGCTGGCCGGCTGGAGTATCGGTGGGCGCGTCCGGAAGGTCCTTTTCCTTTCCAAGGAAACTCAGTAAAGTCTCGAATGTGAGAGGACCCACCCATGTCCAGCGTCTGCTGCAAACATGGTTTTCCTTCTGTGAGCGTGTGAAGTTTACATGATGAAAGAAGAAAGTAAGAGCAAAGAAATACTAGGAGCCTCTTGGTGTGACTCCGCCACCAGTTCAGGCCATTCACCCTCTGCAACCTGACCGGCGTTCCCTTTTCCTCGCCCACCTGCCTGGGTCTGCCTGGTACGCAAGCCAGGCACATGACATAGCTGGGAACAAACACTTCTGATTCCCCTTTGATCCAGGTCATGTGGGCTCCCCAGCCAGGCTGCGGGGTGACAGGCAAGCACAACTGTACCAATGGCGTTTGTAAAAGCGGTCAGGACATCTGCCAGCTTCACCCCTGCAAGCCCTCTGTTGAAACAGACTAGACGGAGGGACTCTGAGTCCATCAGTTCAGATTGCGTTGTTTCTTTTTTTAATCAAAGAACAGCAGGGTTGATGGCTGCCTGGGTGGGGAGAATCGCAGTCACTTGGAACAAGACCAAGTGAATCTTGTTTCTGTGTCACCATGCAGTGGCCTGTGGTGGTTTCCTGACCAAGCTGAACGGGACCATCACCAGCCCCGGGTGGCCGAAGGAGTATCCTACCAACAAAAACTGTGTGTGGCAGGTGGTGGCCCCCGCCCAGTACCGGATCTCCCTCCAGTTTGAAGTGTTTGAGCTGGAAGGCAATGACGTATGTTCCAGCGGGTCGGGGTGTGTGGGGCTGTCCCTCAGAGCTGGACCACATGGGGCCCAGCGGGCCTGGCAGTGACTTCCCCGAGTCAGGTTCATGGCAGAACCTGGGAGTGTTTCGTGCCATTCCAGGGGCATGCCCTCTGCCAGCAGAGTGTGGCCTCTTGTAGCTAAAGCCAGGGAGAATCGGGTCAAAGCAGAGGAGGCAAGTCTTGGGGTGGGAGGGTCAGGTGTGTCCCTTGGGTAGGAATCTGGGTGAGTGTCCAGCTGGGGGCGTGGAGGGGTGAGTGCACTGGGGCCTGTTCCCTCCCTGAGCAGTGGTCACGGGTGACGGAGTCAGTGAGGCCCAGGCAGCGTCAGTGAAGCCCAGGGTGGCACCTTGGGTCAGAGGGTTCCCGGTACATGGAGGGAGCTCCCCTGCTGGGCCTGGCTGAGCCCATCTGGCCACCTGGCAGGCTGCAGCTGTCTGAAAGAGGGCTCGCCACGGTTGGGGGCCAGCATGGGGTGTTGGGGGCCGGCATGGGGCGTTGGGGGCCGGCATGGGGTATTGGGGCCGGCATGGGGCGTTGGGGGCCGGCATGGGGCGTTGGGGGCCGGCATGGGGTGCTGGGGGCCGGCATGGGGCGTTGGGGGCCGGCA